TCCTGCCTCAGCCTCCTGAGTAGCTGGGATTTACAGGCACATGCCACCATGCCCGGCTAAGCAAGGCTATATATTTTAATTGGGAAGTTTGAACTCTTTACATTCAAGGTTGTTATTGATGAGTGAGGACTTATTCCTGTCATTTTGTTATTGGTTTCTGATGTTTTGTATGTCCTTTGTTCCTTTCTTCCTCTTGAAAAATTTTTTTCCTTTCCTTTTTTTTAATAAGAGACAGAGTCTCACTATGTTGCCTTGGCTGGTCTCAAACTCTTGACCTTAGGCAATTCTCCCACCTCAGCCTTCCAAAGTGCTGGGATTACAGGGATGAGCCACCATGTCTGGTCCCTTTCTTGTCTTCTGCGATTTGGTGGTTTTCTGTGATGATAATGCTTGATTTCTTTCTCATTCGTGTATCCAGTCTATCAGTGACTTTTATACTTTCACATGGTTTCTTTCTATAATTCCCTTTTCCTCCTACCATATCTTGCATACTGTAAGTGCTAATCAATGCTTTGATACCACTTAACATAACTGGAAAGTGATTGTGATAATTGGTTAGCAGCAAGTCTTTCTCAGAAGACCAGCCTTTTGAGCCATTGTTGGTGTGCTGGAGGACAGCAGGGTTGAGAGACTGGCTACAAGTGGCAGCTCTGCTGTTGCCCTCCAACATGGAGCCAAGTTGACCACCTGCCTTCAAGGGGAGCTCTGATGCAGGCAGCTGGATGCCTGCAAGCACACCTGTCTGGGGGCAAGGGAGAAGATGAGAAGGACGAGAAGGAAGTAGATGTATTTTTAAGGAAATAATTGACTTCTGATGGGGTGTTTTGCAGATTTCTTATAGCTTTTTGTTTTGTTTTTCTTAGAAAGTTTCTCTGTCATCAGGCAAAGACCAGGATGGGAACAGGAAAACTAGAAAACTGGTCAAGGGAGAACAAGTCCCTTTTCCTCTCACCAATGAACAGCAGGTGAGGAAGCAGACTCTGAGAGGAATGCTATTCAGGATGGCTTGCTGCCTGCATGGCATGAGGGGCTGTCTTGTGGGTGCTGGCAGCCATAATCTCCATTTTTCTGAAGACCACCATTTATGGCTAGATTCAATACAGGTCCAGACCTTTCTCGACACTGCTGGAGAGGAAGTGTGTGCCACAGTCAGAGGAGATAGCCATGGGAAATGGAAGCATGGGACGAAGGGGAGGGGAGGGGAGGAGAGATGAGTGGCTCTATGCTAATCTTAGGGTTCCTTCTCTGCCCTTTTGGGCACCAGGGACAGATCCTAGGAAAGGAGTTCTGCAGACAGTCTTGGAAGCACCTTCTCTGGCACTTAAGGCTTTTTCCTGAATTTCAGAGACAGAAACATATTCATCCTTGAGCAACTGCAGTGAGGCAGTGTGGAATTCTAGGGTGTTGATAGCTATGACTACCAGGACTGTTGGACATTTGCATTCTGGCATTTTCATTCCTTGTCCTAAGATTTTGACTCTTTGCCATGTTCTTGGAACTCCTGGATCTTTCCGGAGTCTGATAAAGGATCAAAATCGCAGCTCCATTCAGCAAACCCAGAAGCTTCTGGGGGAGAGCTAATGGTCATTTGTTCATCATGGATCAATTGTTCAAGATCAAGCACCTTTCTGATATCTCTTGTCCACAGAGAAAACAACACATTACTCCACAGGTGGCTTCTCAGATTTGCTGTCTAGTTGCCAACCTGAGAACTTCCTTGGAAGCATGGCTTCTGCACAAATGGGTTACACTGACTGAACCACAGTGGCTCTTAAAACAAGGTTTTTGACCTAAGGAGCCTGTTCTCCAGGCTGACCTGAACCCCTCAAAGACATGGCAAGCAGGTGACATTTCTGCCCATGGGATTTGCTGAGAGATCTGGAAGGTAAAGAGCCACCTTAGGCTTCAAAGGGTGAGTGAATTTTTACCACGAACCCCAAAGGGCTGATTTGACTTTCTCTATTACATATATCCAACAGAGAGAGCAGGCTTGGGGAAATTTTGTCTGCACTCAGAAAATTCATCAGTTTCTTGGGAATCATAAGTTATTACACTTGAAAGACCAGAGAATGGTTATTCCCCAACACCAATTTGGGCCTGAATTTTCCCATCTGATGTGTCTCTAACATGTGAATCAGTCCCACCTTCCCTGACCACGAGTGAAGTGTTCTGTGATGCTTGGCTGTAGATGCAGTGTGACAACTGCCTGAAGCACATGATCTCAGGCACCAGATGGCACTGCTGCTCAGTACAGTCATAGGCTAACAGCCTTCCTAGAGGACACTGGTAACAGCATTCTCCCCAACTATTAAGATTTATTGTTTTGTTTAAGCAAAGACCAAAGAAGCAGCGAAGATACAATTAAAATGGCAATCCTTGCTGGGCGCGATGGCTCACGCCTGTAATCCCAGCACTTTGGGAGGCCGACGTGGGCAGGTCACTTGAGTCCAGGAGTTCGAGATCAGCCTGGTCAACATGGTGAAACCCCATCTCTTCTAAAAATACAAAAATTAGCCCAGCATGGTGGCACACGCCTGTAATTCCAGCTACTCGGGAGACTGAGGCAGGCAAATTGCTGGAACCTGGAAGGCAGATGTCGCAGCAAGCCAAGATCGCACCACTGCACTCCAGCCTGGGAGACAGAGCAAGGCTCTGTGTTGAAAAACAAAAAAGGCAATCCTCACCATGGTGAGATGCAGCCACACCCAAAGGACCCCAAAAGTGGCCTTATGGTAGCAGGAGGATCCTAAATGTGGATCCTCACAAAGGGAATGCAGCCCAAGTTGAAAGTGCTTCTTCCTTTGCTAAGGAAGTGATTATGTGAATAACCTCAGTATTCTCAATGGGAAAGTATCTGGCAATAAATTTGTAGCCACAACTTGGAAGTTTCTGGAAGAAGTCAACCTCCCACAGTCACCTTTGGCTGACTGCTTGTGTTAGGTCTGTAGACTTCCTTTCAATCAGCCTGCAAAAGTCCCATCTGGCCATTTGGTCACAGTTTAGCATCACTTCCTGGGAGTGGACCAGCTTTATAACCAACCTAGAAAGATCAGGTTGAATTTGGCTTTAGAGATCTGAAGCTCCTCAATTTTCTTCCCTCTTCGGAAGTTTTATTAGAATAATCTCTACCCTTTTCTGTCCTCTTCCTAAGTAACCTAGTCTCAAGGCTCGAAGCTTTAAAGGCAAACCTTAAAATATGTTGCATCAGAAAGCCAAGCCAGAAAGCCGATCACCTAATAGGCTATTGTAATTTCAGGCTCCAAATAACTGTTAAAAGTGGGTATCTTCTGTTCTGCCTAAAAGAAAGAGGCTGAAATGTCAATTATCATTTAGAGTTATGAGTGAATTGCATTTTTATTTACATTTAAGAGTCTCTCTCCCTCCTTGTGTTCTAGTCTGTGAATGGCTCACACCTGGACTTAGTGTAGGCTCCTAGTGGGAGGAGCGGGGAATAGTGAGACTCCTCATCAAATGGAGTAACATGACCCAAATCTCTAGAGGTTTCATAATTTTGCTCTTGCTTCTAAAAACATAGTCATCTCTTATGGGGTGTTATGTGCTTTGTATCCTGAAATTTTCCACTTGCTGCTTCTTGGTGTGAAGGGAGAAATGCCAGCATGTGGCACTGCAGGAGGAGACTGGTGGAAGCTGCAGGGCTAGGCCTTCACTTCCCAGTGACACTGTTCCCAATTCCCTCCAGGATGAGCTGAGACTCCTCAGGATGTGGTTCTGCAGCAGATGAGGTGTGAAGAAAGCCTGCTCTGACCTGGGCACCCAGGATGGCACTGAGTTCTAAAAGGCAAAGGGTATGTGGTGAGGGGCCAGGCTGAGGCCCTGGTGTGGTACCATCATGGGCAGCAGCACCATTTGAGGCCAGGTAGGAGAGACGTGCAGGGCCTGGCCCCCCAAGAGACCAACAGACAAACTGAGGTGGCAGAGAGAGAGATTCCAGTGTCATCAGGAAGACTGCAGATCATAACAACAATGGCTGCTGATTTGGCATCAAAGAGGTGGCACTGTCAAAGCCATAAATGCTGAAAATGGCACCAACATGCTGCAGTTGGAGAAAGTGGGTGACCAACATTTGTTTGAAGAACAGATGACGCTCTTTGAGTGGCTCAGCCAACAGCCCAAAGTTTTAAGGGAAGACCTCTCTGCCAGCTTCAACGTCTCACGTAAAACCTCCGAGGCACTTACATAGCATATTTTTGTGTCCACTCTCTTGCTAGTCTGTTGTACCTGGAATAAAAAAGCAGAGGGAGTGACACCCTCACTTGAAATGGTCACTTCCCTTCAATGTGGTGCAGAGAACAGGACTGATGTGGGGAATGCTGCTACTGCTGCTGCTTGTCAAACATCTGGGGCTGATGGGTAAGTGGAATAAAGGCTTTCCCCGGAGCAAGAGCACATCAGATATGGCTGTAAACCCCCAGCTGGGTGAATCCCTCATTGTGTAAACCCAAGACTGTTGATTCTCCATAACTATCTGCTGTGGAAGATTTAATAATGCAAAGACTTCTTCCCTTTCTTTCGCCTGTCCTACAATATGGATGCAGGGAGGACAGAGAAGAGACATACAAAGGTCAGTTTGTACTAGTTACAGGACGTTCAGCACACAAACTCCAGAACAAGGGCTTGGGAATCTGCCTACCGGAGTGTGCATCAGCACCATCCTCAGCAGCTGTTCCACCCCTCTGTGCCCTGGCTTTTTTGATTGCTTGCCATAGTGAGAGTACCTGCCTTGTGTGCTTGTGGGGAAGACTAGAGAAGTCTGTATGCAAAGCACGTGGAGCAGGCCGGGCATCCATTGAGGACTATGCAGGTGTGTGCACTTACTCTCATCATTGTAATGAGATTTGATGCTATGAGACTATAGATTAGAGAGATTTATAGTTACAAGAGGCACTGAAAAAAAGCACTTTTGGTATGTCTAAAATATCTCGTAATAAGTGTTAAAATAAACACAAGTTAAACCCCAGTCAATTAAAAATGTTGATTGTTATTGAGAAAACTCCAGTGAAGGAAATAATAAGATCTATAAAGGTCTCAAGAAAAATATAATTTGAAAAAGCCATGTGGCTGAGTGTGGTGGCTCACACCTATAATCCCAGCACTTTGGGAGGCCTAGGTGGGCAGATTGCTTGAGCCCAGGAGTTCAAGACCAGCCTGGGCAACCTGTCTCTACAAAAAATTAGCCACGTGTGGTGGCATACACCTGTAGTCCCAGCTACTCAGGAGGTTGAGGCAGGAGGATAGGTTGAGCCTGGGAGATCGAGGCTGCAGTAAGCTGTGATCACACCACTGCACTTCAGCCTGGGCAACAGAATGAGACCCTGTCTCAAAAACAAGGAAAAAACATACTCCATTCTAATCTCTTCAGACAGGAAAGAAGTAATGAGTAATGAACTGAAGAACTCACTCACTGAAGATGTCTTTTAAAAGGGCCAGCAATACCTTCTCTGAAGGTCCACAACTGAGATTCACACCACTCACAGGACTGCAACCCCTGCCACACCTGGGCCTCTCTCACAGTGCTGTCAGCACTCAGAGACTAACACTTGGTGATGACCCCTTGTGCCAGCCCTACCAACTACAGACACCCTCATGCTACAGTGCATGTGGTTGTGCCTGGCCTAGGGGGTCGGAATTTTACAATTCTGGTTCTATTAATTGGTGTTTAAACAGAGAGCTGGCAGTGAAGGTTTAACACACTGCTGACTTCTGAGCTGAGCCAGCGAACTGACCACAGCAGTTCAACCTCACCTTCGGTATAGCCAAGCAGACATCCCCTTGTCTTAGCCTATAAACCCTAGAATTTAAATCCAAATTTTTCTTGTTGTCAGATTCTTCTGAGTCTGTTCTTGGCTGACCACTGATTTTGCTAGCCTCGAGGGCAGGACTTGGCAATGTTTTCATATATAGTAGCAGCAGCTAATGAGTTATCCAGGAGGGTGAACTGCTTTTATCTCCTTCTCCCTTCTTAGACTCAAAAGACATGTTAGTGAGAAAGCCAGGAGTCCAAGCCCAGGGCACACCCACTGTGCACATGGCTCAGCATGGGCAGGAAAATGTCCATGGGAACCTGTAGCACAGAAGCACCAGCTCAGAGCATAGGTACCGCATGGAGCTGCCTGGGGCAGCCATGGCACAAAGGCAACCCAAAAAGGATGCATACTTCTCTCTGTCGGCCTTGTAGGTGTGGGCTATCTCTGGCACCAGAGGGTCATCGGGGTTGGGGTCGCAGAGCAGCGAGCAGATGGACAAGAGAACTGGGAAGAAAAGAAAAGGTTGGTCAGCTGTAGCCATGAGGCTGCTAGGTCACCCCTGGGTGAACCTCCCTGAACTTGCACTCTGTATTGACCAAGGAGATGTCTTCCCTTCAACAGCCCAATATAAACTGCTTGATGTACCACTTGCTCTGTCCCATGTATCGTGTGGCCTCAGGCATGCCATGCTAGGATACTTCCCTCCTGGGTGCATCCTGGCTCTCATTCCCCTTCTCCACTGAAGCACCCCATCTTAGTCTCCAACTGCCCTCCCATCCTTGTCTGCACCCCACATCATGCACCTCTGGCATTTAGTCCCAGGAGTCCTGTTTACTGGTAAGGAAACAAGAATTCAGAGCATTCAAGTAACTTGTCCAAGGTCACAGATTTGGAACACCCAATAAATGGGTAAAAATGAGATTCTGGGCCAGGCATGGTGGTTAATGCCTGTAATCCCAGCACTTTGGGAGGCCGAGGCAGGCGGATCACCTGAGATCGGGAGTTCAAGACCAGCCTGACCAACATAGACACACCCTGTCTCTACTAAAAAAATACAAAATTAGCCGGACATGGTGGTGCATGCCTGTAATCCCAGCTACTCGGAAGGCTGAGGCAGGAGAGTCTCTTGAACCTGGGAGGCAGAGGTTGCAGTGAGCTGAGATTGCACCATTGCACTCCAGCCTGGGCAACAAGGGTGAAACTCAATCTCAAACAATATAAAATAAAGAGATTCTGAACCAGGTCTGTCTAACTACAAAGCAGATGCATCCTCCTGTGTGCCAGCACCGTCTCTAGGACGTGCACTCAGTGTGGCTCTCAGCAACCCTGGGAGAAGGGAATCACCCACTAGGGCTGTGGTGAGGAACAGAAGGAACTGTGGTACCTGGATTCTTGGGGTCCCAGAGAGAAATGTGAACTCTCATTCCTGGCTTTGCTTTCGACTCACCATATGATTCCAAACAAACTGGATTCAGCGAGTCCATCAAAGTCCTGACCACAGTTCCCCACACATAAAGCTACCAATGACAGGGGCAGGTTTGCCTTTTTTAAGATACTTGGCTAGGCACGGTGGCTCACACCTATAATCCCAGTGCTTTGGGAGGCCACAAAGGGAGGACTGCTTGAGGTTAGGAGTTTGAGATTGGTCTGGGCAACAAAGTGAGATCCTGTCTCCTCTACAGAGAAATTTAAAAATTAGGCCAGGTTCTGTTTCTCTTGGGTTGATTTTTCACCATCCTACCCACGCTCCACCTGCCAGGATACTGCACTGTCTACATTCAGGTCTCTTGTGCACGCACAGCCCATGTGCAGCCCATCTTAGTTCAGAAGGAATATCTGCATTTCTAAGCTCAGTTTAGACTGGTTTCTTCAACTTCAACCAGAGACATGTGCTTAATATCATTTATTTGGGAAGGGAGGATTTCTCCACCAACTTTGAGGTCCCCAGGGGCATGCCCTGTATCTTTTTTCAGGGCTGACTCACAGTTCGTTTTGTGCTTATTGGATGAATAAATGAGGGAACAGAGAAGGTAATTTAATATTTGCCTTTCTTATTTTTAGATAAAAAATATAAGTAGAATCAATATTTTCTTCTTGCACTCATGTGACAGTTTGAGCACCCCAGGGCAATGGACTGCTGAGAAGCGCCAGGGCGTGGGGCACAAAGTTCTGCTGGTGCTGCCTCATAGGGATGTAAGGATGTCCACTTACAGGCACAGTAGTGGACAGGGCTAAGTGACCTGGGAAAGGTGACTGCTCTCTCTGAGCCTCCATTTTCACTCAGTCAGTGCTGGGGTAAAAACACGTGTAAGAGACAAGGCACACAGAGCATGCCATCAGCGTCTCTACCTTTTGACACAGTCAACGCTGGAGACCACTGAGACCGCAGGATATCAAGGCAGATGCTGCCATTGCTGTTGATATTAGGGTGATAAATTTTGGTTGTGAAAGCAACCTGCAAAGACAAGAGATTCCAAATCAGACAAACCACAGGGACGTCTGGGAAATGAACCAAGTAAAGCAGGAGCAGCCACTGCTGGGCTGTACCTGGAGTGTGCTGCATATCTGGCCCCACAGTGCAGGCTGAGCCAGACACCCACTCCCAAACTCTAATGGGATACAGAAGTGAGTGATCACCCAGAAGTTCCCTGACCCATTCCCTGCTGGATTCTCATTCTGAACATAGGGGGATTGACACTCTCTCCCTGAAAACAGTATGTCCTGAGGAGTAACAAGAGTGGCAGAAAGGACTCAAAAGCCCAGAAGTTTTATGCAAAAAGCAGTGATGTTTTGTTGATGTATCAGCAGAAAAGCCCAGGCCCAAAGACTTCATGACTAAAACACCAAAAGCGATGGCAACAAAAGCCAAAATAGACAAATGGGATCTAATGAAACTAAAGAGCTTCTGCACAGCAAAAGAAACTACCATCAGAGTGAACAGGCAATCAACAGAATGGGAGAAAAATTCTGCAACCTACCCATCTGACAAAGGGCTAATATCCAGAATCTACAAAGAACTTAAACACATTTATAAGAAAAAAATCAACCCCATCAAAAAGTGGGCAAAGGATATGAACAGACACTTCTCAAAAGAAGACATTTATGCAGCCAACAGACACATAAAAAATGCTCATTGTCACTGGTTATCAGAGAAATGCAAATCAAAACCACAATGAGATACCATCTCATGGCAGTTAGAATGGCAATCATTAAAAAGTCAGGAAACAACAGATGCTGAAGAGGATGTGGAGAAATGGAAATGCTTTTACATTGTTGGTGGGAGTGTAAATTAGTTCAACCATTGTGGGAGACAGTGTGGTGATTCCTCAAGGTATTCCTCTAGTTCTAGAAATGGCATTTGATTCAGTAGTGATCCCATTACTGTGTATATCTACTATAAAGACACATGCACACGTATGTTTATTGCGGCACTATCACAATAGCAAAGACTTGGAACCAACCCAAATGTCCATCAATGATAGACTGGATTAAGAAAATGTGGCACATATATACCATGGAATACTATGCATCCATAAAAAAGGATGAGTTTGTGTCCTTTGCAGGGACACGGATGAAGCCGGAAACCATCATTCTCAGCAAACTATCACAAGGACAGAAAATCAAACACTGCATGTTCTCACTCATAGGTGGGAATTGAACAATGAGAACACATGGACACAGGGCGAAGAACATCACATACCAGGGCCTGTCGGGGGGTGGGAGGCTGGGGGAGGGATAGCATTAGGAGAAATACCTAATATAAATGATAAGTTGATGGTTGCAGCAAACCACCATGGCACATGTATACCTATGTAACAAACCTGCACGTTGTGCACGTGTACCCTAGAACTTAAAGTATAATAATAATAACAAATAAAAGCTCAGGCCATGGACCCTCTGCCAGGCCACAAACCCTCCCCACCTTTCTATTTCACCCTTTGTAAGACCACCCCCTTCTCAGAATTTAGTCCTAAAATACCCTTGTGCACTTCAAATATGTAAGGATACCCACTGTAACAAAAGATGTGAAACCTAAATGTCTTCAGATTGATTACTGGTTAAATTAATGTTATAAATAAGCAACAGAATATTACACAACTGTTTAAAAAGAATGAGGTGAATTTTTAAAACATGAATGTGATCATATGGAACAATTTCCAAGATATATTGCTATGGGAAAAGCAAGATGCAGATTCATGGAAACGCCTGTTCCATTCATGGGAGAAACAAGGAAGCACAAACAAGTGCTTATCCAGGTGGAGATTACTCCTGAAAGAGAAATGAAATGACAAGTAAGACTCAGTGCCTTGTGGGAAAAAAAAGGCGGGGGGCCGGGCATGGTTAGAGAGACAAAGTTGAAAGAAGGTCCTATTTTCTACTGTATACTCTCCTACATTTGACTTTTTTTTTCTTTTTGTTTTTGTTTTTGTTTTAAATCACAGCCACACACTACTTCTTCAAATGACCTTGGACCTCAGAGCCTTCACTATAAATAGGTACATGGTACCTCTCCCAGGGATGTTGTGGGACCCATGGAGAGTCTGCTCTCTGTGATGTGCAAGGTGTTCTGAGTCAGGTGCAGCTTCCACTGCTACAGGAGCCTAAGAATCTGCCTCACCTACACTCCCTCTGGGTGAGCAGTGACCTCAACGCAGGGGCTGGGGCAAAGGAACATAAGGATTTTGCCGGCTGGGCGTGGTGGCTCACACCTGTAATCCTAGCACTTTGGGAGGTCGAGGTGGGTGGATCACAAGGTCAGGAGTTCGAGACCAGCCTGGCCAATATGGAGAAACCTCATCTCTACCTAAAAATACAAAAAAATTAGCCAGGTGTGGTGGCACATGCCTGTAATTCCAGCTACTTGGGAAGCTGAGGCAGGAGAATTGCTTGAATCCGGGAGGCAGAGGTTGCAGTGAGCTGAGATTGCACCACTGCACACCACCCTGCGTCACAGAGCAAGACTCCATCTCGAAAAAAAACAAAAAAAAGGATTTTGCCTCCTCCGCTAGCTCTGAGAACTCACTGGTACTTCTTAGGCTAGATGGAGATGCACAAACATCCTTTATATAATTATCTACCATTTTTTGCATGTTTGATATAGTTTTTAATATTTTTTAAACTTACTTTGGAATATGAGAAGAGAGTTATGTGCATGTGAGCTCGAATATCTATTACCATATAATTTTTCCCAGAAAGGGTCAAACTTCAAAATCATCTCAGATATTAAATATCTGCCTCAATATCTCCAATAAAGACCATGCAATCTTGCCAGATTCCTCCTATTGTCAGAAAATTTGTGCCAAAACATAAATCCAGTTGCTCCTGTTCCCTGTAGAAGGAGGTTTTTAAAAGACAGAAGCACTTTCTTCCCTCATAGAATGTCACTGTCACCTTTTAGCTCACATCTCTCCTTGCTAAAATAATCCCAACTCACCCACAGAGCTTACTTCTTAGTCTTTTAATAATAACCACTGTTGGCTGGGCGCAGTGGCTCACACCTGTAATCCCAGCACTTTGAGAGACCAAGGCGGGCGGATCACCTGAGGTCAGGAGTTCAAGACCAGCCTGCCCAAAATGGCAAAACCCCATCTCTACTAACAACACAAAAAATTAGCCAGGCATGGTGGCGGGTGCCTGTAATCCCAGCTACTTGGGAGGCTGAGGCAGGAGAATCGCTTGAACCCGAGAGGAGGAGCTTGCAGTGAGCCGAGATCATGCCACTGCACTCTATCCTGTGTGACAAGAGAAAAACTGTGTCTCAAAAAATAATAATAATAATTTAGAAATAATAATAATCACTGTTTCTCCTTTGTCCTTGGGCAATTAGGTACCCTGAAAACGCCCAACAGACATTCAGGACTACATCCATATCTGTTTAAGGAAAATCCTCAGCTGCTCACACAGTAATGAAAGAGATAAGCTAGAAAATTACTACTTGATAGACACTGCCACAGTCTCTCCAGAGGGTAAGGGAGAAGGGGTGGATCAGAGCACTGTGAAGCATGTTTATGATTTTTCAACCAAACCCCCTTGAACAGCAGTTGTACTCTAATGTGGCAAAGCTATTTTAGCATCTGTCATTGCCCTGCGGAGCACACCCCACTCCCTTGCCAAAAGTTTAAAAGGTCTCTGGGATCCTAAGCATATTTAACCAAGATTTAAAATGCTCAGGCACCACGTAGCCTCTGCTGGTGATGTCTGGACAGAGCTGCAGCTGGCGAGCACAGAAGTGGCTTCTTCACACTGACTCAGATAAACAACACGCAAAACAGCAGCTAAGCCTCTGACTCAAACTGAGTCATCAAGGCCAAGTCAAGGTAGTAAGACACAGCAATGTCACAACCCCTCGGCTAAGGTGTCTGATGCAGATGCAGGACTTTTGAGTAAGTCTTGCCAAAATGCACAACCTGGCCAGGCGTGGTGGCTCACACTTGGAATCCCAGCACTTTGGGAGGTGGAAGCAGGTGGATCACCAGAGGCCAGGAGTTCGAGACCAGCCTGGCCAACATTGTGAAACCCTGTCTCTACTAAAAATAATACAAAAATTAGCCACGTGTGATGGCAAGTACCTGTAGTCCCAGCTACTCAGGAGGCCGAGGCAGGAGAATCGCTTGAACCCAGCCTCTTCTCCACAAGGCAGCAGAGTGATCGTTTTGGTGTGGCAATCCCCACAATGGCGTGCAGACCCTACTCCTGGGGCCATCCGTACCCCTCTGGCCTCCTTCCCAACTCCTCACACGCTCACTCCCCTGGGGCAGTTTCCTGGGGACCTGTCTGCCCCCTTGCTGAGCTTCTGCAGTTCCCCCTTCTCAGGGCTATCTCCCCACCACCCCAGCTCCTGCTGCCAACCACTGCTTGTGCTCCTCCCCAGTGCTGACAGTGCTGACTGGCTCACACGCTAAATGCCCTGCCTCCTCCACAGGACTGTGAGCCTCAGAGCAGGCTCAGCTACCCATGCAGAGCCCAAGTAAGAAGGAGTATGAGGTGCAAGGGTCCAGGGGATGAGACGACCTGCAGTGCATAATACATGCTAGGGCAGGGTGGTCGAGGCAGCTCCCTGGGCTTCTCCTTCCCTCTGGTGGCACTGCTCTCTAAAACTCCACTGATGGGATGGTGTGTGGATAAAGGGCAAAGGAGGTTTGCTATTCTTTTAACTTAATAAAGGAAAGTGAAGGTGCTGTCTCTTATACACATCTAGATGTGTATAAGAGACAGAGTCTGCTCTCTGTGATGTGCAAGGTGTTCTGAGTCAGGTGCAGCTTCCACTGCTACAGGAGCCTAAGAATCTGCCTCACCTACACTCCCTCTGGGTGAGCAGTGACCTCAACGCAGGGGCTGGGGCAAAGGAACATAAGGATTTTGCCGGCTGGGCGTGGTGGCTCACACCTGTAATCCTAGCACTTTGGGAGGTCGAGGTGGGTGGATCACAAGGTCAGGAGTTCGAGACCAGCCTGGCCAATATGGAGAAACCTCATCTCTACCTAAAAATACAAAAAAATTAGCCAGGTGTGGTGGCACATGCCTGTAATTCCAGCTACTTGGGAAGCTGAGGCAGGAGAATTGCTTGAATCCGGGAGGCAGAGGTTGCAGTGAGCTGAGATTGCACCACTGCACACCACCCTGCGTCACAGAGCAAGACTCCATCTCGAAAAAAAACAAAAAAAAGGATTTTGCCTCCTCCGCTAGCTCTGAGAACTCACTGGTACTTCTTAGGCTAGATGGAGATGCACAAACATCCTTTATATAATTATCTACCATTTTTTGCATGTTTGATATAGTTTTTAATATTTTTTAAACTTACTTTGGAATATGAGAAGAGAGTTATGTGCATGTGAGCTCGAATATCTATTACCATATAATTTTTCCCAGAAAGGGTCAAACTTCAAAATCATCTCAGATATTAAATATCTGCCTCAATATCTCCAATAAAGACCATGCAATCTTGCCAGATTCCTCCTATTGTCAGAAAATTTGTGCCAAAACATAAATCCAGTTGCTCCTGTTCCCTGTAGAAGGAGGTTTTTAAAAGACAGAAGCACTTTCTTCCCTCATAGAATGTCACTGTCACCTTTTAGCTCACATCTCTCCTTGCTAAAATAATCCCAACTCACCCACAGAGCTTACTTCTTAGTCTTTTAATAATAACCACTGTTGGCTGGGCGCAGTGGCTCACACCTGTAATCCCAGCACTTTGAGAGACCAAGGCGGGCGGATCACCTGAGGTCAGGAGTTCAAGACCAGCCT